AGGTTAGGCAGGGTGGTGCAGTGGTTAGACTCAGCTGAGCGTGAAGTCTGTCTCCACTGCTGAGCTACCTAGAGACGTCTGAGACCTGGCTTTCCTGAGCTCCCATTTCTGTGTCTGTGAATGGCTGTACAGCCATTGCATTCCACCACGTGACTGCTCTTCCTTTTACACACTTTCCAGGATACCAGCTATCAAGAGAAGATCTCTAAGAACCAGTCCGTCCTACAGAAAACCTGGAAAGAGATGGGTCAAGAGATGGGACAGTCATCAGGTCACCTGGTACTCCAACTGCAGGTGGTCGTGAGGTTTAACTTAACTCAAGTCCTCTGGAAGGCAAGCGCTCTGAACTACTGAGCAATCTGTCTCAAATGTGTCCCCAAAAGACACCTTTACAGCAAGGCCAAAAGAACCTAACAGAGCTAAGAGCCTACAGTCACAGAAATGTGGTGACTCTGACGGATTCTTAATGATTCGTGCTACAGTAGCCCTGGCTGTCCTAGAACTCACCCTGTAGACCAAGGTGGCCTTGAGCTCACAGAGATCCTCCTGCCTCTGCCTCACAAATGCTGGGGTTAAAGGCGTGTGCCACCACTGCCCAACTGTGCTATAGTTTCTTAATTAAAAAAAACAATAAAGATTGTGTTAGTAACTGTAACCGAGTTGTAAGTTTCCAGCGGTGTTCCATGAAGTATACAAGGTGCCAAAATGTGTGTGCTTGCTCAGTGTGAGACGACACTCACACACAAATGGGGGCGGGGCAAGATGTTACCTTATCTGTAGCTATTGCTAATTTTTATTCATAGGAATTCAAGGAATTTTGCATTTTCTCTAGGATTTAAAGTTTCTAATAAATATGCATTTCTCTAAAAATATGAAACTATAAATTTGGGAGAATTGATGTCTTCCTTCCTTTCCTTTTCTTTCTTTTTGAACAGGATTTCATTATAACCCTGAATTGGCTTTGAACTCATGGTCCTCCTGTTTCTTCCTCTGGAATTACCAGTTTGTACCATCACATCAGGTCCTGAAGGTCCTTTTCTGAAATCCATATTTCAGGAAGGGTTGTCTATGGTAAGTCTAATTGTGCTTGGCTTTCAAATGACTATAGTGAATAGTATTGTCATTTGGGGTTAGACCTTTATCGCAGGAAAAGTTCATTGCTTTGCATTTTCACAAGTGAATGGTCCAAACAAGGAGCTCCTTATCAGGACCAAGCATCTGCTCCATGGTGCACAGTTGCAGATGAAATGACAGGTTTGGTTTTCTCTTTTTCAGCTCTTACATGACATATTTGAGGAATCTGAAGACAAATCACAAGCAAGCATGCCCAGGAAACTGGGAGATGGGAGAATGGAAATGTCACTGGGCAGGAAAAGCTCCTTTGTATGATTTTGGACACCTCATCCAGCACAATCTCCATTGCTTAGCATGAGGCCTGGCACATAGGAGGCACTGTGTGTGTGTGTGTGTGTGTGTGTGTGTGTGTGTGTCTGTCTGTCTGTCTGTCTGTTTGTCTGTCTGTCTGTCTGTCTGTCTGTGTGTGACTGTGTGTGTGTGTGTCTATCTGTCTGTGTGTGACTGTGTGTGTGTGCTTGTCTGTGTCTATGTCTGGTGTTTCTGTATCTATGTGTATATCTGTGTATGTGTGTGTGTGTGTGTGTGTGTGTGTGTGTGTGTGTGTTGTGTGTCTATGTGTATCTGTATCTATGTGTATGAGTGTTTGTGCATGTGTGTGTCTGTCTATGTCTGTGTGTGTCTCTGTATGTCTGCATGTCTGTGTGTGTCTGTGTGTGTCTCTGTATGTCTGCATGTCTGTGTGTGTCTGTGTGTGTCTCTGTATGTCTTTATGTCTGGTGTGTCTGTGTGTGTCTCTGTATGTCTGCATGTCTGTGTGTATATGTTCACGTGTTTGAAGGTGTGGAGGCCAGGGGTCGATGTTGGGCATCTTCTTTAATCATTCTCCATCGTGTTTGAGGCCAGGTCTCTCACTGTATTGGAGCATCTGATTCAGTTAGACTGCCTGGCAGAAAGCCCTAGAGATGCTCCTGTCTTGGGTCCCTCTGTGCTGGGGTTCCAGGCATGAACTGCTATGCTATCCTTCGTTCTTGACATAGGTGGGGGGGGGGGATCTGGACTTGGGTCTTGATGACTTTGTGCAAAATACTTTATGAACTGGGCCATCTCTCTAGCCCCGATGCATAATACTTTCATATTGAATGAGTCAGTGAGTGAGTGCATAAATGAATGAATGCTAAATCTAAGGACTTAATTTCTGTCCCAGGAAGAAGGGAGTCACACCCAGGTACATAGTAATTGAGGGCCTGCATCAGTTGTTAAGTGGAGCTTAATTACAGTGGGGTATGCAGACTTTGATCAAGTCTTGACCTGTGAGAAGTGAATACCGGCAAGGCAAGAACTGGATGTTCTCTGGGTGTAGAAGCGAGAGCCCCCGACCTACAAGTGGCAGAGAGAAGGGGAGGAACACAGATATGGCAGGGAAAGGCCTTTGTAGGAAATACACATTCCACTTGAGATGTTGGTTGATGAGGAGCAATTCAGTTCCCCAGCACTAGGCATAGCACCCCAGAAGTTTCCAAGGCAGAGAGATCAGGGATGAGAACACGAAGGCTCTGATTTGCATAAGAGCTTGTGGCACCGAGGATGTGAGGGATGGTGGGATGGTGCCCCTCTGGAATGGGCTGTGGGAAGGGTTCTAGAGTTGATCTTAAATGCAGTGAAAGAGCCTTGAAGGGCTTTCATTCGAGGGTGGCATCCTTTAAATTTTCAACGCTGGAAGCAGCAGACAGTCCGGGAAGTACATGATAGTGACCAGGGTTTGGATCTAGGGCTGATCGTCCACAACAACCATGGGGTGGATGGATGTGAGATAGTTCCCAAGTAGGACAGTGAAGTCTTGATGCTGTACTGAGAGCAGAGGGAAGCCATCTTGAACCAAGCGGACTCCAGCCACCCAGCAGCCTCAGGGGCTCTGCATCCCAGCACTTTCTCTCCCAGCCTCCCTCTGAGGTTCTAATTCCAAGCCAGGTACATACCACCTCATTACATACTAACAGTCATCTGCTTCCTTATTTAAGAAAAATGACCAGAAGAGATGGCTTAATGGTTGAGAGCATCCTGCTCTTCTAGAGGACCTGAGTTCAGTTCCCAGTACCCATGTTGGGCAGCTCACAGCCCCCTGTAACTCCAGCTCCTGGAGGGTCAGACGCATCTAGCCTCTTTGGGCAACTACACTTAAAGTGCACAAATCCATCCACCCCACTACAGTTTTAAAAAAACAAGATTGCATCTTTAAAAATGACCTATTTACGTAACAACTTTGATTTTATGTTTTATCTAATTTCTTATCCCTGATGCCTAAAGCATGCTTAATATCTGATAAGTGTTTAATAAATGTTTACCATCCTGTTGAATTTAGGAATAAATAAAAAATCAAGGCAAAAGCTAGGAGTTAAGCGTGGGGTGTTTTGGTCGTCGGTCACCACAGAGCAAATCCCTGTCTCTGTGCTGAAGAACCAGACTGGGTTTGCTCACCCGTGGGGCAGTGAGTGTGCTTGTGCACCCATCCGTCGGGTGGCTCCACACAGGAGCTGTTGGTATCAGCTCCACACCACTCCACGTGTCATTGGAAGACACAGCCTCCCTTGGGGCCCAGGCTGTCCTCAAACTTGAGATGTCCCTGCTTCTACCTCCTAAGTATTGGGATTCCAATGAGTGTCATGATGCCCAGGTCTGGAGCTGATCTAATGGGTAGCAAAAGACAGCATCAAACACATCAAACAATTATTGGATCGCATTTCCTGCCAAAGTCATCACGGCAAATTTGACTCCAAAGAGGCCAGGAAGCAAATCCCGTCATCACTAGTGGGAGATGCCACGGGCATTGATTGCATGGAGAGAGTGAGGACATGCAGATGTCACTTGAGTGACTGTGTGATAGCACCGCCATCCCCTGAGAGGGGGAAGACTGGAGCGGGACCAGGCAGCAGGGGCTGGACGTCAAATATCAGAAGGTCAAATCTGCACCTAACAATCCAGGGAGACTGCCGTGACACACTTTATAGGGGTAGAAGTGTAACTAGCAGAAACAAAAGGAGGCTGCAGGGGGCTGGGGAGAAGGCCCTGTGCATCAAAGTGCTTGCTGCTGGAAGCTGATGACCTGAGCTCGGAGTCCCAGAGTACACAGGGCAGCGCAACAGCAACAAAAAGAGACCCTGCCTCAAAACAAAAGTGGAAGGCAAGAACAGACTTCCAAGAATCGTCCTTGCGGCTGAAGTAGTTGGAAAGTCCAAGAAGGACCTTCAGAAGCCTCAGGTGAAGCTGCATCCACAAACTCAAAGAATCTGGCAGGAATTTGGTGCAGTGTTTTGTTCTCAGCTCTGCCTCTCTCTTTTGGCTTTGTTTCCAAACAGATTTCCTCCATGTGGTGTCAAGATGGTCCTGGTTAGCCCCAGAACCAGCATTCACAGCAAGAGACAGGGCTTCTTTCTCTCGACATCCAGACATCGCTCACTGACCTATGGGACAGTATGTGTCCATTAGTTTACTGTCTGCCAGTGGGCCATCCACAATGACGGAGATTGCTAAGGGCCTTTGGTAACTCCCTGGGTCAGGTGCTCACCTCTCAGACAGGCAGTGTGCACTGTGGTTAAAATAGGGGAAAAATGGGGTCAGAAGAGAGGTAGGAGGAAGAGCATCAGGAGGTAAAAAGGCGGAAAATAACCCTGCAACTACTACCCCATGGTAGGGAAGCTAGGAGGGGAGACACGTTTTAATGTCTGGAGTTCATTAGCCACATTCAAAATAGATACACGAGTTTAGGAATTGTGTGGCTTATTTCTAGATCAACTTGCCTAGCTTGTGCAGCTTCCTAAGAAAACACACTTGCCTCGTGTGTTCGAGTCTGTGTGTGTGTGCACGAATGCGTGTGAATTCTTTGTAACGGATGGTATCAGAGCCCCTCGAGTGAATGAGATTACCTATTATAGTACAGAGAAAAGACAATTTATTACCCTACAAAGTGAATACATTGTGCGTAACTAATGCATCTGCTGAGGATATTTTGGAATTTTCTATCAGCAGGAAATGGGTATCTTCAAAACAAACACCGTTTAGCATTTGCTCTGTGGCAGGCACTGTTCTGGGTGCCTTGACTGCGCCATGAGCTTAATCCTCTGGATGATTCTATTATGTTGCTACTCCTGGTATCTCCTTTTTATAAGCAAAGAGATGAAATTGACTAAGAAACCTGGTCAAGGTCAGCCCTCTTGTGATTAACATTGCACACAGTCAAAGGCCTTCCTGGAGACATGAGTCTTCTCTCCTTCCTCCTTCTCCTCAATCCTATTACACTCCCAGATTTCCACCTGCTGTTCTGGATTGGAAGTGAGGTACACATGTGGTTTGATTCCTGCGAGATGGCGAGATGGATGAGATGGCGTCTCTGAGGATGTAAACTGAGAAAGCTGAAGTGTGGGAGTTCGTGGAGTTCACTCGGGAGTATTTGCCAGCAGGAGACAGCAGATGCTGCCCCAACCAGGAAGAGACAGTGCTCTCTCCAAGCCCTGATGTGGAAAGCCTCTTTGTTTTATGACTCTGGGTGCAAGCAACCCTTTTAATTTTGTGTTTTGGATTCCGGCCATAGAAAGTCTTCTTTAATGTAGCAGATGGCTGGAGACAGGCAAGCCAGGTGCTCACATTCGACATGAAGCCGCCTTCCCCCGAGAGGATTGTCCTGATGCTGCTGCCGTGGAAGAGGGGGGAAGACTGTAACAACGTAGACACTCTCTTTGTTTACCATGTGTAAAGCTGCTGTCTTAAGTGTCTGTTAAGTATGTGGAAGTCAGGAAGAGTTTCGAGAATCTGGTGAAAGCCATGGACTTTTTCGTCAGAAAATCTGTACATAGGTACACACAAAAAATGTACTTGATGATTGCAGGGGCCTGTGGATTCTCTGTTGTCATTCCTGAAGCTTCAAAGAGTCTGCGGTTGGTGGCTTCCTGGGCTTTGAGCGGACACAGCTGTCATCTCTTCGTTTTCTTCTTTTTCCTCCTCCTCCTCTTACTGTGTTATGATTCCAGCTTCCAAGTTACGAAAAGAGATTTATCTCTGGGTTCCTTTTTATTTTTGAAACAGGGGCACACTATGCAGTCCAGGCTGGCCTTGAACTCACTATTCTCCCATGTCAGCCTATCCAGTGCTAGGAGTTCAGATGCGTGCTGCCAGACCTGGCTTACTGATTAGCGTGGATGCCTTCCACACCTGAACAGTAGAATTTTACTGGAAAATACTTTCAATTATTCTATAAAAAATCACTTTAGTGTGATCTCCTGTTGGTGTGACCCTTTGGTTTATTCTCTGTCTTTTTTAAGGTTTATTTTTATATTTGTGTGTGTGCATTTGCACATCTGTTTGTGGGTTTGTGCATGTAAGTGCAATTGCCCACAGAGGCCAGAAGAGGGCACTGGTTCCCCTGGAGTGGCAGTTATAGGTGATCGAGAGCCACTCCACTGTGTTCTGGCATCTCACTCAGGTCCTCAGGGAGAGGGGTTTGTGCTCCTAACTGTGGGCCACCTTCCCTCTCCTCAGGAAGAGCAGTTTGTGCTCCTAACTGTGGGCCACCTTCCCTCTCCTCAGGGAGAGCGGTTTGTGCTCCTAACTTAGGCCACCTCTCCTCTCCTCAGGGAGAGCGGTTTGTGCTCCTAACTGGGCCACCTCTCCTCTCCTCAGGGAGAGCAGTTTGGGCCACCTCTCCAGCCGGTTTATTCTCTTCAAAGAGAAACGTAAGGCTTCTTTTGACCATTTGTGCTGCACATGGCTGTGCTTCCCTGCTCTGGCCTGCCGAGTGTCTTCACTTGTCATTTCTTTGAGCCTTGCTGGCTCTGAAACTCTGCTTGGTTATCTGTACTTCCTACAGTTATTAGTAATAGGGTAGAGTAAGGCAGGGATCACCCTGCCAGCGGAGGAGCATGCAGAGAACTCTGAGTTTGAAACGGAGGTTTTACTCTGTCTAAGGACCCTGTCCAGAGAATGCATACAGACTTGGACATTGCTTCCTCCGATGCCTGTTTCTTTAACTGATTGAGGAAGGGAGGTGTTTCTGGGGGCTATGAAGATGCAGACATCACTCACGGATACTTCTGTTGGGTGACACCTCCAAACACTGAGTTCTTCTAGTTCCACTTGGTGTGTAGCTGTTATTAGTGACATTTTTCTGAGTTACAGCAAAGTTGCGGACTTGAAGTATTTATTAGTGATTTTCAACCAAAACCCATCTGGCCTTAATTGTTTTATACTTCAAAATAAAACTTAAGAAAATATGATCCATGTGTTTCACCAATTTTCCTGAAAATCACTTACTTCTTGGGTCTGGAAAAATTGAAGGTAGGAGTGGACATTGATAAACCCTTTAGGCTAATTCCATTTACCAAATGGCTAATTTTGTCAGCTATTGAAAATAATTGGAATTTAGGCCCAATTTCTTCCTAAAATGAACTTAATCAAATACAAACCATTTGGGGGTTGAGGTTTCTTTCCTCCACACTTTCACCCGAGGCTGGATAGTTCTCAGTAGAAAGAGGGCAGTCTAGACATTTAGGGTATTTTTATCATCTCTGAATTCTACCTGCTGCATTCCCGTGGCCACCCTGCCTGGAACAAAGAGAAAGTCTTCGAACCGCTAAGTGTTTCTTAGAGGGACAGTCATCCCTGGTTGGCAACTTCAGGCCTTAATGATTCTGAAATAGATTTCTCTCCAGTGAAGAAAAATCAAGCCCTGAAGTAAGTGTCAGATGATCTTGACCAGGTGACCATCTGAACTCAAAAGCCAGGTTTTCATACACCGTGATGTCCCACGGTGTGTATCTCTGCTCAGATCATCCTGTACTCCGTTTGTTCTTAAATCCAGATTACCCAAAGCAAGACTTCCTTATGCCTCTTGCCAGCCTGACATCTTGATGACTGGACAGTGAGTGGGCCCTCTGATTCTACACTCTGTTCTCTGGAAGAGTTCTGTTAGCTGTGAAAGTCTCCATACCTCCTTTCTGTGTCATTACCTCTTGCAACTGAAGGTCTAGCCTGAGTGCACAAAGCCACCTGGGAGCCTGGAGTCTAGTTGATTTGATTGCTACACAGATACACAGTGGAGGAAGTAAAACAGTTGGTTTTAGGGTTATTCACGTGATTCTGGAAAGGACTCCAGGCCTCACAAATTGTCCTCACAAATGTGCACAGGTTTGTTTGTGGAAGGATTTTTACTAGTTGTTTGTTCAACAAGGTCCTCAGCAAACACTGATTCTGAAAAAAAAAAAAAAAAAGGCATTCTCTTGGTATGGTTATAGGTTCTTCTGAGAGTTGTAAACTGGCACCAGGCTCCAGAATCCATGCCTTCCAAGGGCTGGAAACGTTAGAGACAACAACAACAAAAATCAGTAAGCATGACAGATAGTCAAGGCACAGAGAGTCCTCATTCACAAAGTTTATGATGTAGTAAAGAAGTTTAAGATGGAGACCCAAGATTGCAAACTGATGGCCAGCGGGCTAAACTGGAACCATGGGTTTATTTTATTTGGCTTGTGCCGTGGTGAGTCTTCTCAGCGTCAAAGAGAAGGGGAAGGGGAACCCAGGAGAGGGACAAAGAGGCTGATTGGCTAAATGTGCGATTTCCCTTTTGTATAAAAAGATATGTGTCCCGGCTGGAGAGATGACTCAGAGGTTAAGAGCACTGGCTGCTCTTCTAGAGGTCCTGAGTTCAATTCCCAGCAACCACATGGTGGCTTACAACCATCCGTTATGAGATCTGGCGCCCTCTTCTGGAGTGCAGATATACATGGAAGCAGAATGTTATATACATAATAAATTAAAAAAAAAAAAGATACGTGTCCAACATTTTTTGCAAAGCCAAAAGATCTGCCAATACTGGGCCCTTACTCCCACACCTATTCCTGCCGATGGCTGGCTACAATCAACAGCAGCTACCCTCCTGGGTGTAGGGGTGTAGGAATGCTCTTTGGTTCACCAGCTCGAACCCAATTCCCTTCTATCTCCATTTGAGACGTCTACATTTATTTAATCTCTTCCGCAGGGAAACAAGCCGTTGGAGCTTGAAACAACACGGAAACCGCCTCAATTTATGTATCAAGTGGCTTAGACCAGAAAGGTGGCGGTAAAGGTGACGAGACACTGTCAGATTTAGGATACACAGAATTTTGAATCTAGTGGTATTGGAGGATGGGATTACTTGGAAAAGTTTAAAAAGTAGTCCCAATTTATTTGGCAAGAAAAAGGTACAATCGATTTTGAGCACTTAAAAAAAAATAAAACGCCGAATTACTTAAAAGCTCTGCCTTGCTGCACAAACCGGGTGCCCTGGCACAGACGCCGCATGTCTGGGAGCGCTTGGGGGACTTGGGAGGGAAAGAGAAGCCAGGC